TATTAATATGGGTCGGGTCGGATAATTTATCTTTTTTTTCATTACCCGATTTTGACCCGTGCCATATTAGACCCGACCCGCCGGTTTGCCACCCTAAAGTCAGCCGTAAAATACATGGAATGTTGTCTTCTTTCCATGTTAACTTCGTTAGAATCTTCCATTACTGAAGCACCATGCATTCTTGATCGCAAAATGCACTTTATATTGAATAAGGCCAATCTCTTTGGTTGACAATGAGAACAGAAAGGCCCATGGAGAATGACTGACAGATGTGTTAATTTTCAGTTTTGCAATAGTTAATATATAGCTGGAGTTGGGCTTATTGGCATGAAAGGAGTTTTTGACCAATATTGTCCCTTATCTTTGAGGGTAGGTCTATTTTGGTCCCTCAAATATAACCCTGAGTATATTTAGTCCCTTAAGTATTCTAAAGTGGAGCACCTTTAGTCTCACTAACATGATGTGTTCAAAAACTAATGGTGTTACCCAATTCTGATTCATGAAACAAATTTTCTGCTCTAAAGCAAAAGGTTTCCTCTCCTTTTATTGGATAACGCAAATTATTACTTTAATTCCTCATTTTTAGATAATGTCTTCTAAATTTTGACATTGGAAATATACCCTTCTGTGCTAATTTTCAATGAGAAAATGATATTTTATAACCGTTGTAAAAATAATAGCCGAAAAAAATGATAAAATTTGTATATATACAAAAATTATACAAATTTTATATACTTTTTCTGCTACCAGATGTAAATAGTTTCTAGTGCGAGCTAAGAATGATAATACAACATGGTTATTCGTTTGCTTCAATAATATGCATAGAAGTGATCCTGGCAGCTCTATTATTTTTCAAATTTTAACTTTTCTTTTTGGAAAAATCAACCGAAATTTTTAAAAGTAAAAGTTTCAACGTTAAAATCTTAAATTTATTAGCTCTGTACTAGTAGTGGGTGTTGGTTTATAAAATATTTTTGATAAGTAAATTAAAAAGACGGTGAGTGCTGAAACCGATCCCGGAATGGGAACAACTTTTTTCTTTTACTGTTGATCTTCTTCTTACAGTGTCACATGAGTAACACGAGATAGTGCTATTAGTTTTTGAAGACATTGTGTTAGTGAGACTAAAAGTGCTCCACTTTAGCATACTTAAGGGACTAAATATGCTCAGGGTTATATTTGAGGGACCAAAATAGACCTACCCTCAAAGATAAAGGACAATATTGGCCAAAAACTCGCATGAAAGCGAAAGCGAAGTTAAAGCTTAGGTGATATGTGATAAAGATATTCTATCAAACGTTCCTATTGTGGGGTGAGCTTCCAGTGAATAAATTGAAGAATTTTCTTCTCACGTCCATTTTTGTTTTGTCTAGCTTTTGCAATATAATTGGACTGCATTTTGATACTCCCCTCATATTTCCTCAGTACATGCTCCGAATTAAAGCACTCACTTAAGTCACCCCCCCCCCCCCCCCCCAAGAATTTTTACTCTGTAGAGCAATTAGTAAGCAAATATTATATAAACAATAGTACTTTTTATTTATTTCAAAAAGAGCAAATTCATTTACATATACAGCATATTTTAAAATTAATACGTTACCATCAGATTCTTCATTTTTTAAAGGCTGAATACATAACCAGGCCCCTAAACTTGGCCATTTTTTTCATTTGGACACCTAAACTAGTAGCAGTTCCTAGTGGGCACTTTAAGTGAAAACAAATTGTGCCAATTAGACACACACTGCTGATATGGCACTGTGTGTAATACACCCACTTGTGTTAAGCGCGTGAGAAAGCAGATTCTTTTTTCTTCAATCTCCTTCTTCCTTTGTGCAGTTTGTGCAGACTTAAACTAATGAGATTTTTGCTATTTTCATATGAGACTCAAATCTCACTATGATCAGGCATTGAGTTTCTCAAAACCGCAATGGCTGCAATCTCCTCCAGATTACCCTGCCAAGATACGAGTTTAAGACCATCTCAATGCAAATCAATAACGCCATTTGCAAAGAGCCATATCATCACTGCCTCAAAATGTTCGCTTTTACCTTTATCTTTAGTACGATCCTCATTGTTTGGGTGTTAATGCAGCCACATAGCAGCGAGAACAAAAGAACGGTGACAGCAACAACAACAGCAGATCAACAACATGCATCTCTCGAAGCTAGATTTACAGAAAGAACTAAGCACTGTTAATTGCTTCCAGCAAGAAATCATGGGCTTACCAGCAAAACTGGAAGGAATGCATAAATAAATAAATAAATCACATTTCTCACTGATGTCGCATTCTATGACCTGAGCTGACATTCACTCTGTTTGGCCATTGAGGGCTCAGATTTACTGTTTTGATCAAAGCAAGAGAGAAGGCGACGTCACCATGGCTCATGGCTGCAGACGCCAGTTTGCTATACAACAGACATACTGGGTCGCCTTACTAAGATACGGATCAGGTATCTTCACAATGCCATGACTGAACATAGCCCAGAAAGGAAAGAAATCTTCATAGCCCCTTTACAACATCAGTAGCAGCAGCACAAAAAGACAAATCCATTTGCTTGCTGAAAGTCACAATGGATGTAGCTTGAAGATAATGGTGATAATCAGTGGTCCTTCATTTTTGGCTTTTTTCTTTGCCACGCTGGCAGTAAGTGAAATACACACGCTTTAGTTTGTTTGGAGCTGCAAAATATGTGTCTAATTGGCACAATTTATTTTCACTTAAAGTGCCCAATAGGAACTACTACTAGTTTAGGTGTCCAAATGAAAAAAATGACCAAGTTTAGGGGCCTGGTTATGTATTCTGCCTTTTTTAAACTCGACCCATGATTTTAAGGGATCATCTGGTGGAGCTTAAAAATCTCCCATATTCAACCAAAATCTCAAAACTGTAGAGATTATTTATCCACTAAACTCTCTACCATCACGATAAAAATTCCTCCATTTTCGCTCTTTTTTCTCAAAATTATAGGGATTATGTGAAGGTTTCTTTATTATTCCTTTTTTAGAACAAGGCATTTGAAAGTCTCATGGAGTTAGAATTTTTTTTATATTGATGCACAATCGACCATTATCTTATGTGTTTTTATTGTGTACTAAAATGTATTTGATGCCTATCTTATGTATTTTTACATTGTATCAAGTTGTTTATTTGAAGTATATTTATGATTTGAGCATATATACCATAAATATATAAAATATATTTTTTTGTAACCTAGGATCTAGGATCCGACATTTTTACCTTATATAATACTCCTATATGTTTTAAATTAAATTTATTTCAATTTAAATATGTATAAAATGTATGCGCAGGGTATAATCAAGACCTATAAAATATATACTCAAAGCAATTACTACTGTAAAACACACAAAAAGGTGACAAAGTTATTTCAATATTATTACATGTATCATACTTGCAAATTATGTGTAAGATATACATATTTTAAATTCCAACAATTTTAAATTATGTTAATTAGTACACAATAATTGGTATATTTATGGTATGTGTAAGATATAAAATATTTATAATAGAATATACTATAAATGTTTTTTCTAATAAAAGACTTATGCATATATCCCGTATATTTGTGAAATATTTATAGTATTAAACATAATTACTATAAACATATACTATATATATTTAATATATTTGTAAAATATCTACAGTATAAAACTTAATATATATATATATATATATATATATATATATATATATATATATATATATATATATATATATATATATATATATATATATATATACACACACACAATCATTAAAGATTTAAATATTCAAACATGAACAAAAAACATAAACCAAAAAATTATAAACTAAGGAATCAGTTGGGTTGGGATTAAAGAACAAATGCTTAGGAGACAAATAAGGAACAAATCCTTAAGTTAATACACTGCATGATTTTAGGCATACGATTAGGATTTCAGCTTTGGTTGGGATCTGCTATATGAGAAAATATTTTATGGCTAATATTGATATACTTACATGTGTCACACCTCCTTTTTCGAGTAATAGGGAGTTTTTCCAATTAAAGTGACATTAATTTGTAACGACCCGACCGGTCGTTTGGAACTCTAGCACGTCGTTCAACAGCTTGAGGCTATGAGCAGCTTCACTTCAGGCATTATGACTTGTACGCATGGTCGGAATTGAATTCCGGAAAGTTCGGAGTTGATTTGGAAAGAGAATTCTCATTTCGGAAGCTTTAAGTTGAAAGAATTGACTAAGATTGGGTTTTTGAGTAAACGACATCGGAATCAGGATTCGAAGGTTCCAGCAGGTTCGTATGATAATTACGGACTTGGGCATATATCCGGATCGGGTTTTGGAAGACCCGGGAACGTTTCGGCACCAATTGAGTTAGCATTTTGGAAAATTTTTATAAATTTGGGTTGAAGTGCATTTCCGTGTTATCAATGTCCGTTTGGGATTCCGAGTCTAGAAATAGCTCCGTATGGTGATTCCAGTATTGGGAGCGCGATCGGATATGAATTCGGAGGTCTGTAGGTCGTTTTGGAGTCATTTGGCTAAAGATAGAAATTGGAAGGTTTTCGAAAAGTTTAACCAGAAGTGGACTTTTTGATAACGGGGTCGGATTCCGAATCCGGAAGTTGGAATAGGTCCGTAATGTCGAATATGACTTGTGTGCAAAATTTGAGATCAATCGGACGTGATTTGATAGGTTTCGGCATCGAATGTAGAAGTTTGAAGTTCTAAAGTTCATAAAGTCCGAACTGGGGTGTGATTCGTGATTTCGGCGTTGTTTGATGTGATTTGAGGCCTCGAGCAGGTCCGCATTATGTTTTGGGACTGGTTGGCATGATTGGTTGGGGTCCCGAGGGCCTCGGGTGGATTCCGGGTGGTTAAAGGATCGAATTGGAATTTGGAGGAAGAGCTGAAGCTGCTGCCTGCTGGTGTAACCGCACCTGCGAGACTTGGGCCGTAGGTGCGGGGCCGCAGAAGCGACCTTTGTGTCGCAGGAGCGGAAATGGGCCGGCTAGGCTGGGACCGCAGGTACATGGAATTTGACCGCATCTACGCAAGCGCAGAAGCGAGATGGAGGACCGCAGAAGCGGTGATTGGCACAGGTGCGATGGAGGCTCCACAGATGCGGACTCGCAGAAGCGGCGAGGTGCCCCCAGGTGCGAAAGTTGCTGGGCAGAATTCATTAAATAGCGGGGTTTAGCCATTTTGCTCATTACTTCTCTATTTTGGGGGCAATTTTGGAGCTTCTTGAGAGGGGCTTCCACCTAGCAACTCGGAGGTAAGTTAATCCTACATATTATGAGTTAAATACATTGATTATGTGTAGATTTTAACATGGAAATTAGTGGAAAACTTGGGGTTTTGGTGGAAAGACCTAGAAAGTCTATTTTTGGATTTTGACCACGATTTTGGACATGAAATAGAGAGTAAATTATATATTTGAGTTCGTGAGGTTATGGATAAACTTTATCTTCGAAAAATTTCGGAATCCAGGACCGTCGCCCCGAGGGCATTTTTGTCAACTTTTCGATTGGAGGTTAGGAATTGTTATAAATTGGATTGTTATGAGTAATTGAATATATATTAGTGGAATTGCATAATTATTGACTAATTTTGGAGCGTTGTGCATCAATTTGAGTCTTCGGAAGGGCGTGGAATGCCGGTTATGGAACTTCGGAGCGAGGTGAGTCTCCTTTCTAACCTTGTAAGAGGGAATTGTTCCCATAGGTGAATTAATTGAATATGTGCTGCTAATTGTGGGGGCCACGTACGCACGAGGTGACGAGAGTCCGTGCGTAGCTACTATTATGCTTATGTCCGGTAGTCTAGGACCCAGAAGCATGCTTACTTGTAATAAATGCAACCTTGTTGACAAATTTAAAAATGCTTAAACATATCGAACGTGTAAATGAATTTCTAAAAGACTAGATATCATTTCCTGACATTTAAAAGAGAAACTTGCCTTTTCCTGAATAATTGCTCCTTGATGAATTATTGACTTGACTATTTGAATGTGTTTATCTATTATGGAACGGGCCGAACGCCTCGGTAGATTAAATAGATGCATCTATGGTTCTTGCCATTCGACCTCTGGTAGTGCACAATTTATATATTGTTGGATCGGGCCGTACGACCTCGGCATGATTTTCGCATGCCTGTATTGCTTGCCTTGAAATTTATTGAAGTTGATATTGTTCCTTCCTGGCTTGAGAATATATGTGTGTAAATGATGAAAAAAGGGAAATTTGGGAATTTTACATAAAAGAAAGAATTGTTTACTTGCTTCACTCTATTGAATTATAATCATGTCATATAAATCCTCGATTTGTCATATTATTAATGTACCGTCATTGGACCACTAGTAAGTGTCGAAGTCGACCTCTCATCTCTATTTCTTCAAGATTAGGCGGGATACTTACTGAGTACACGTTGTTTTCGTACTCATGCTACACTTGCTGTGTATTTTTGTTGCACATGCACATGTAACTCTAGCGGCCTAGTGGGCGTAGCAGCATGGTTGATACAGAGACTTAGGTGAGCTGCACTTCTCGGGACGACCCGCAGCCAGCAGAGTCTCCTTCAGAGGATTGTACTGTATTTTTACTTCTATCCTCCTTGTATCCCGGACAGTTACTGTATTTTATTTCATTCCCTAGTAAATGCTCATGCACTTGTGACACCGAGTTCTGAGATGTCTATGGGATTATTCAGTATTTTAAAATTGTTAAAGATATTAGTATTCATTCAGTGGAACTTATTATTTATTGTTTAAATGTATAAAAGAAGTGATTCCGGAAATATTTAAAACGAGGAATCTCTAGTTAAATAGTGTTGGCTTGCCTGACAGCGGTGTCCGGCGCAATCATGACCCTTAGTGGATTTTGGGTCATGACAACATGGTATCAGAGCTCTAGGTTCCTGTAGGTCTCACAAGTCATGAGCAAGTCTAGTAGAGTTTCGCGGATCGGTACGGAGACGTATGTACTTATCTTTGGAAGGCTGCAGGGATGTTAGGAGCACTTCCCTTCTTGATTTTCTCGTCGTGCGATTTGATTCCTTTGAGGCTTATGCCTTTATTTCCTTCCAATCGATCTTATGCGAAGCGAAGCGCTTATTATAAATCCGGAATTGAGAAATTTTAAAGGTACCACAGAGGTGGTGCGGGATGCTTCTCCCGACGTAGTTGATTTGACTATTGTCGTCGCCTTGTGGAAGGATATTTTGTCATCTGAGCTCATTAGCTGCACTTCTGAGAGCTCTGAGGCTAGGCACAAGTTGCCATGATGCTTATGAACGTTTGTCGCGCGCTATTGATATGATGGTAGGATGCTTGCCTACGTGTCGGGGCAGTAAATGACTCGAAGGGGGGTTTGCTCAGTGCATGATTTAGAGATTCGATATTTTATTCCCGACATGGGAAAGGCAATCGGGCTAAGGATGTTCAGACTTGGGTTGATGGAGTAACGAGGCTTGGTATTTGCAAGCGTGGTGGAATTTTCATCTGTGATGAGGTGTCGTTGTCCTTGTTGAATGTACTAAGTTTGCCGGTGTTAAGACCTTCTACAATGCGCCTTTGGGGCAGGATATTTTAAGATAGTATTGGAGAAACGGCTGTTAGATATTGCGGGGTGCGGTGGTTCAGGATTGAATGTGTATTTTTAATGATGACGGCTCGAGAAAGATGATCTTCGGAAAGGTTTAAAAGTTAGTAGCGGTCTATTGGTTCGAGTGCTACCGAGATAGATTTTGATCTAAGGCATCAGCTGAGCAGCAAAGGATGAGGAAGGATGTGTGGGAAGTGTCATGCGGTGGTTAAACTTCTAGAAGGCCAGGTGTAAGGAGCGGAAGTCGAATAGTTGCTTAAAGAAGAGGGTTTGGCCAAAGTAGGAGAGTGGCAGAGTAGCACGTGGGTTCAGTGGCGGAATAATTACGCCCTTGAGAAAAGTTAGGAGTGGTTTGGGAATTTTAGTGGACAGTGAATGAGTCTACGAGCTTAATTTGAAATGTTGGCTAGCATAACGGCGGGAGATTGATACGACGGAAAGGAGCTGCTTGATATGAAGAAGATACAACATAACTTTGAATTGGAAGACATTGTTGCCCATTTAGTTGATGTCCCTAAGGAGTGAACGGACTAGTACAAATGGTAAATGAGCAGGGCTCATGATGTGTTATGAATGACGTAGTGATTGTTCCTAGTGCAACGACGTTGGAAGATGTCGGCGTGTAATCTCCACATGTGGGTTATCTCCTATGAGCAGATCAGCGGTCGCGCGGTTGGCAATGCTTCGACGAAGGATTTCATTAACTATCCGGTAAGAGGTCTAATATGTGAATGTTGCTAGAGATTCAGAGTGTTCATGAAATGCTAAAGGAAGGATTTCGGGGAATCTGGTGGTTAATTACGCAAGGTCATGTCAATAAGAGAGAAAGAATCTTGTTGGATTCCAAAGTTGTGTAATGGTGGCTTCAAGCTAAGTGGGAGAGTCCCACTGCCTACGATTGGGTTGTATGATTATCTTCTTGTGAGGTTTCGGGTTATCGGCGTATTGGTAAGTTGTTTCGGCTATGGGAAAAGAACATAAGTGGCAATTTGAGCAAAGGAATTGAAGATTGTGTTCTATAAATGGCATCATCGATTCATGTTCGAACTTTAGGGAGACTCGGGAATTATGCTTCGCGTAGAAGTGAGTTGCAAGGAAAGTGATTCGGCCGGGTGCTTCTTTGAGAAGGTGGTCATGGGCTAGCGGAGCCTTGCAGATGATTATATTCGGGACCATGTCAGAGTGGATGACTCTCAATAACGGTCCTAGTGAATTCAAAGGTTAAAAATGCGGTGTCTAGGGATTTGAGCCCGCAATGTGTTTAGGAATCGGGCTTGTGTAGCAGCTTATGATAAGAGGCTCAGAATGTTCTATGATGTTTTGACTTGCAGTGTAGCATTGGGAGGAAAAAGGAGAAAGAGACTTCGGATTCATGGAAGAATTATCAGAATGGATGTACCAGTCGAGATGCGAATATGCGCACAAGGAAGGTATGAGGTGGTCCGTGGAATTTGAGACAGCATGGTCTCGTGCCACGAGGCCACTCGGGTTGAATGCACTATGTGTTGAACGAAGTTATTATTATTCTAAGGCAATTAAGGACAAATTGGAAGAGGTTGGATTGGTTAGCCATGGTTGAGTTGGCATACTGGTGGTAGTGATCAGTTCCTTCAGTGTGATTAAAGTTATGCAAGTGATTTGTGATGGTGCGTGTGCGGCTTGTCGGCCGCCGTAATTTATTATATTCGGAAGTATCCTAGTATCATGGCCTGCTATGTGTAGGCGGATCCCGGAAAGAGCTATGGTGGCTTAGGCCACTACTTGAAGAATTGCATCTTCTGCGGTTGCGAGAATTCACTCGTGTGTTGCTATGGTTCTCTTGGAATGAGTTAAGTAAAAAGTTTCCATGTGAGGAAGTGTTTACCATGTTAGTGGTTCAGGAGTGGTGATGAAATTCTTGTACTATCGCAGGTTGGCATGTTAGGTGCCATGAGTTGTGTGGAATTTGAAGGTGAGGAACGAGGTTGCGGTTTGGTGTTGACAAGGATGTCACGAGCTCGGATGCGCATGAAAGGGATTTGAATGTTTAGAGTAAGCTGGCATTGTCTTCAGCGTCACCTGGGATCAGAGTTTTGTGGAAGAGGCCTTGTATCCTGGTTATGGATTCTTGATCGCTTTTCAGCGTTAGAGCGGCCGGTGGTATGGATGTGCAGACTTGTTATCTGCTACAGAAGATCGTGGGAGCGTGTCCCACGGGAAGATTGTGGTGATATCATTAATCTGAGAACTTATGCCTGGAGGGCACTCGGTTTATTGGGTTGTGGACTGTGGAGGATTAGTTAAGTTATGATGGTTGTTCTTGTGTGTTATGGGAAAAAAAGGGGGGAGGGGGTTATTATGGACCCAGAAAAGATTATTGGCCTAGTTCGGTACGATTAGAATCGGCTTGAGGTCTATGGATGGATTTAAATATGATTATAGGCTCCATATCAGGCCGAACGTGCTCATTTCAGCATAGCTCTCCTTATGGAGGATTATTCGGACGTTGGATGTTATTTCTTTGTCGGCTATTTCATGTAATGCTATATTGTGCCGTGTGAGTTGCGAAACGG